CGGAGGAGCTGGAGGAAGTGTCTGGAGAGAGGGAAGTCTGGGCATCTTTGCTTAGACTGCTGCCCCCGTGACCCGGTTCCGGATAAGTAGAGGAAAATGGATGGATGGAAGGAAGAAAAGAAGGGAAGAAAGGAAAAAGATAATATATTGTGTTAGTTCAGCCTGACTTCCTACTCGTGCGCACTCTGCCCTTGCACTCATTGCACAAGTCAGGGGTCTCCCACAGGGACAGGCAGGCAGACGTGTTACTGCTCTGTTTTTATAGCGAAAAAGCTATTGAGTTATAGCAGAGAAGGTACCCAGAGCAGCTTTTGGTCACAAGCGGAGACCATATTTGAGAAAGTTGCAACAAAAAAAAGTCGGATGCCTGATCTGGAGGTGTGTGCCTACATCATGCCAAAAAAATAGGGCATCAGTCATGATCTCAGAGAAGCAACTGTTGCTACACATCAGTCCGGGAAGGGATACAAGTCCATCTCCAAACAATCTGAGACTCACTGTTCTACAGTGAGAAACATTGTTTACAAATGGAGAGCCTTCAAGTCTTCTCAGGAGTGAGCAAATTCCATCCAAGGTCAGATCATTTAGAGATATAAGGGAAAAGCCAAGAGCTACATCATGTCATGTTCATGATGGCACAATTATAAAAAGACAGAACAAGTATGGCGTCCACAAATGGGTGGCTAGGAAAAAGCCCCTTCTCTCCAAAAAGAACATGGCAGCACGACTGAGGTTCACAAAACTGCATCTGAACAAACCACAAAGGTTCTGGAACAGAATCCTTTTGATTTCTGAGACCAAAATGGAGCTGTCTGGTCATCATGCACAGTGCCTTATTTGCTGAAAATCAAACTCATATCCAACTGTCAAGCAGAGTGGTGGAAGGGTGATGATTTGGGCTTGTTTTGCAGCCACAGCACCCGGGAAACTTCCAGCCACTGAGACAACAATGGACTCCACTTTATACCAGAATATTCTTGAGACAGATGTGAGGCCATCTGTCCAGCGGCTTAAGCTGGGCCAAAATTGGGTCATGCAACAGGACAATGATCCCAAGCACATAAGCAAATTTGCATCTAAATGAAATGGCTACAGAAGTCAAAGTGGAGAAGAAAAAGAAATCAAGGCACTGGAATGGTCAAGTCAAAATCCAGACCTCAGCCTCACTGGAATGCTGTGGGAGTGGGCCATAATTTCTCCAAAACAATATGAGAGACTCATAAAGCCCTACTGAAAACATCCACCCATGCATCAATTATTTATAGTGCTTATTCCTGAACAGGGTCGTGGGGGAGCTGGAGCCAATCCCAGCTGACATTGGGCGAGAGGCAGGGTCCACCCTGGACAGATTGCCAGTCTGTCACAGGGCTGACATGTAGACAAACAACCAAACACTCCTACGGGCAATTTAGAGTCACCAGTCAACCTAAGCTGCATGTCTTTGGACTGTGGGAGGAAGGTGGAGTACCCGGAGAGAACCCACGCAGGCACAGGGAGAACATTCCGACTCCTCATAAAAAAGGCCGCAGGTCGGCCAGGGCTTGAACCTGCTGTGAGGTGACGGTGCTAACCGCTGTGCTGCTGTGCTGCCAGAAAATATTTAATTCCAGTTATTGTTATTAAAGGTGATTCTACCTGGTACTGAATGTAGTGCTTTAATTTGGTGTACTTTAATTTTCCTACCTGGTTTCTGTATGACGGTTTACTTTTGGGAATTATTGACTACATATTAAAATCTATATGTTTTTTTTCTTGTGGTTATTTTCTTTGTTTACAGGGGTTGATGAGGACCACGGTTGTTATTTAGCCCCTGAATAATAACAACATAGAACTGAAGGAGCATGTACTTTCTTTTTATCATGACTATGCTACGCATGCAATGCTTCACTTTGATAGGGCCAAAAAGACTGGAAAAGATAGGTATAGGTCGGGATTTGTACATTTTCACAGATTTTCTTTCGTAATTAGTCAGATTGTAAAGGGAAAGTTGACCCTCTTACAACTGACAAAATGTAGCACAAGATGCCTTTTTTATAAGTATAGCATCTAATGTGTCAACCCTAGGCAATGAGTTTTAATATGTACATTCATCTCAGTAATGATAAATATAAGCAGCCTCACTGACTAATATCTGCTGGTTTTTATTCACACAGGTTGAGCCATGTTAATGTGGTTGCAGCCAGAGAGGTTCCTGAGAGAATGCAGAAGCTGGTGGTCACCAATGACCTGCCACTGCTGGCGATGGAATACTGTCAGGGAGGGGATTTGAGAAAGGTAAAAGCCTGTGGTTTGTTGGTGAGTGTGTGTACACATATGTGGTTTAGGAAACTAATCCAGTGTCCTAAACCACATCAAAGTGTTGACCTACAATAAATTGACATGGAGCTGTAACCATGTGTGTTGATAATCCTTGTTGAACCATTTTCATGACTCTTTCTCTCAGCACCAGGCCTGGATATAGTTTGGTTTGTAAAACTTTAGTGCTTTTCTTTTGTGTATCAGTGTCAGAAATGGGCACATCAAAACTGAAATTACAAATGTCAGTATTTTTTTCTGTATTTCATTGGGTTTAAGATAACCACACATGAATATGATAGATTAATTTGTTTGGCCGATCCAAGCGGATTATTTGCAATTCATTCTAGGGGAGAAACCTGCAGCAGTTATAACAAACTGAGGCGATAAAGAGTGTCCAGCCTCTAAAAGAGGAAAATACCAACCATCACAAACCGCAGTGTCATAAAAATTTCAAAGCATCCCAGATGGTCAAAAGCTAAGCATTTGAGCTGGGGGCAGTTGGAGTGGTTAGTGGGGAGAGAGAGGAAAAAACAGTTCCAGCCTCTTTTGTCAAGCCTGCCACAGGTTTCCAGCAGTCCAAAGCTTCATTTATATTGTTTAAAGCTAAACAAATAAAAGTCTTTACAACAAAAGTGTTGATTTGCCAATTTGCAAAACCTGTTTAGTTTGTTAGAATCATTATCAGAAATGCTTCTAAAAATCAGGTCACCAGTAAAAATGCATTGGGGAAAAAAAGTTTGGTTTATTTATGAGGCATAGTAAAATCTTTTTGTTTCTTTGTTTTATGCTTCAGTCTGAGCCTGTTTGTGAGCTCCAATGTATGTCTGAACTGTCTGAACCCTGATAAATACCAGGTACTTAATGAATGGAAAATAGCTGTTTTACAGAGGAGTAGAAGAGCAACGATTTCATGAAACATTAATAAAAAATAAGAGATTAGGGAATGTTTTGCAAAGACTGAGATCTCTTTTCTCCCTAAGTGTCTGTGTTTGTGCTCTCTGCAGTATCTGAACCTCTTGGAGAACTGCTGTGGGATGAGAGAGGGCTCTGTTCTGATTCTGTTACGTGACATTTGTGAGTATCCTGCTCAGTCCCCAACTTCAGTGTGACTATTATGAAATGTTTAATTGCATGCATGTGAGAGTGAGAGAGAGCGATTGAGTGAGCTGGCAGTGTGATTAATTTCCTGTAGTATGGAGGAAATGGTCATGGTGACCAGTACCACGACATCACCTGTGACCCAGAATCATCAACCTATTAGTCACCATGGCAACAACTCACCCTTGGACGGTCTTACGTCAGCAATCAGACACTCAAGCTCTCTTTCACAAACAGTGCATGAAAGCTAACATCAACAGTGCAGTGTATATTTGATGCTGTATAAACAGGTTTGAGAGAGGACATGTGACTTGGGTCACAAATATCTAGAGCGGAATAGAGTAAGACACACAAACACACAAACTCTGTTTTCTGTTACCCACTGATGCATGATTCCTGATACTCAGTGATCTCCTTTAAAATGCTTCACAAGTGAAAGGTAAACACACAGACATGCACATCCACACCCAAAAACTCAGTCTTCCACACATATACATTAGTATAGGTTCCCAAGGTTATGAGTTCTGCTTCATTATACTCATTTCCAGCACACATACTAGTCACCCTTTGACACACAAGTGTAGTGACATAGTTTCAGTTTGACAGACAAAACCTATTACAGTTTAACTTCAGTTACAACATTAATGGCTAAAGAATGTAGCTATATACTAATGTGTGACAAAGGAAACCTCAACCAAAAGTATAAGGTAGTGGGTCACCACGTGGCACTAGAACAGCTTCAGTGCACCTTGGCACTTGATTCTACAAGTCTCTGAACTCCACCGGAGGGATAAACACCAATCTTCCAAAAGATACTCCCTCATTTGGTGTTTTGATGATGTGGTGGAGACACTGTGAAACACCTTGGCCCAAAATCTCCCATAGGCGTTCAGTTGTGTTAAAATCTAGTGACTGTGAAGGCCATAGCATATGGGTCACATCATTATCTTTTTTTAAAAAACAAAAAAAACATGTTTGAACAAAAGACCAAACAACATAATCTCTGGCAAATCAACAAACAATCAAAAGAAAAGACAATACAGAACCCACAGACCAAATGGGAACAGTAATAATCAACACTTTAACTATAAGACAGTAATCAATAATCAAATTAATTCTTAAAAAAAAAAAGAAAAAATAATTGCAGATGACAGATTAAGAGATCACGGGGATAATTTCATCAGCACTGTGAGAGAAGAACTAAAAAATAAAAGGTTCTCAACTGTTCTCCAGGGTGTGTCAGTACACTGTGACATCACTCTTGGGTGTGGTGCAAGAGAGCACACTTTGAGTTCATCCATCAGTGATGCTGGGTTTGGTCAGAGGTCAAATGCATTTTAAAGAAGAAAAAAAAATGGGTGTGGCATTAGAAAGAAGTGAACTTACCAGAGCTCTGTAGCTGCTCCTCATCTCTGCTTGAGGACGGCTGCTCAAAACACTGGCCAGTAACTGTAAGTTGAATTGTATGTGGGTGATGTTGATGCCAGGTTTTGGGTTTTGAAAAAGTTGAAGAATGCATGGAATATAAAAGATGATCTCTCTCATTCTGGTTTTGATAATTTTATTACATTCTCCATCATTAATCCAGAAATGTTATAGGAGGGCAATCCTATTCTGGTGGAGTATTCCCTAAGTTACCTGACTGTAAGTGCCACTGACCTCATCACTGTGCTTAAATCAGTTAACTAAAACACTCCTGTATGACTATGGCGTCCATCTGACAGATGGCTACCCTGTGTATTTGACTGAGTTTCTTTTATTACATAAGAGATTGAAAGAATCCCATCCAGCTAAGTGACAAATGAAAGTAGTAAATGTTTACCTTAGAGCTTGACTGATGCTGGATTTTTGAGGCAGATACTAATATTGATATTTCACTTATTTCTTGATTTAAATAATAGATGCTTCATTTTAGCTATTAAAGAACTGCAGACATTTTACAGTTGAATACAAACAACTTTTAGGTGCTCCCTGCTTGGCAGTACTGGTGTTAAATTACCTCAAACATATTTTGGCATTTTTAATATCAGCCTGTGCATTTGTCTGGCCAATTTTCTAGTTTAACTCTAGTTTAGTTTAGATGCACCAATAAACACCTCCAATGAAAGCAAGCCATGAATCTTTGCCGGTTTTTTAAAGGTAAAAACAGAAATATATTTCCTCTACATATACTGTGCCTCATTAACTCATTTACAATACATACAATGGTAACACTGCATTCCCCTATTCTTCTGACTCTTGTTCCTTCTTCTTTCTCACCACAGCTTCGGCTCTGACCTACCTCCACAACAAGAGGATCATCCACCGAGATTTGAAACCAGAAAACATTGTGCTGCAGCAGGGGGAGAAGAGGGTGAGTTCAAGACCCCACAAACCATCTTGTTATGATGACAATAATAGCCAAACCACAAAAAAGCAGTCGTATAAAAACGTTTTTGCCTCTATGTGGGTTATCTGGTATAAGTACATATTTATGCTCAACAGTTGAGCACAACTTTGCTGTGTGGAATATTTAACATGGGAAATGTAAATTCACAAAACCTTATCCTTGCAGTTATGAGGAATGGCCTTGCTCTTACCTTCCTCTGTGGGCCTCCCTGTATTTTGTGCATTATATTACAAATTATAATGCTTCATCATTCCATAGGACGCAAGGAAATTATGAATCTTATATGAGTGTGGTCAGTTTATGACACTGCTCAGTTTATAGCTCGGTTTTATAGTTTTGCATGAACACTTGTTCGTTTGGTGGTGGTGGTTATTAAGACAGATGTGTTCATGCACAATCGAAAAGCAAAGCATTAAATGTGTATTTTTAGTCATGTCTTAAAGGAATAGTTTGACATTTTGGGTAAAATATATATTCCCTTTCTTGCAGAGAGGTATTTGAAGAGATCATTCTCACATCTTTCTATTAAATATGTAGTATTGATCCACTCATCTAACTCTGCCAGAAATCGAGTAAATGCTTTCCCCACAATGGCAAACAGTTCCTTCAAGTTATCAGTTTGTTTGCTGGATAAAATTTTGCTAATATCTTTTCCTTTGCTCTCACCCTTAACCTCAGTTGATCCACAAGATCATAGATCTTGGCTATGCTAAGGAATTGGACCAGAGCAGCCTTTGCACCTCATTTGTAGGAACACTGCAGTACTTAGTAAGTGATGAAACAGAGGTGAACATGTTTTAGTTTACTCATTGTATTCTAGACTGTAACATCCGAGCCTGGTGGTTTTCCTTCTATCTTTCAGGCTCCGGAGCTCATTGAAAGGCAGAAGTACACGGTCACTGTGGACTACTGGAGCTTCGGGACTTTGGTGTTTGAGTGTATCACAGGATTTCGGCCTTTCTTACCAACCTGGCAGCCTGTTCCCTGGTAGTGGCACCTCTAAAAAATTCTCAGAGGTCACCATTAAAAATGAAGTCATATTTTTTTATTTTATTTTATTTTTTTGCTTTTGCATCTCTCTGACTATCTTTTTCAAAATAACCTCAACAATGATGTTTTTGAATTTTAAACCATGATAAAATCAATTCCAAATTAATATTATTGCTACACAGCTGAATTTACCACACAGGGAATATAAAAACAGGAGTTATCAAAGTACAGAATTGCAGGATATGTGGGCTGTGCCAGTGTAAATACCCCTTGGGGCCTTGCTAGTATGATAAATGAAAGATATGAGACTCCAGGGGGCTCTGTGGTAGGTACATAGAGGAAAATCATGTTCCATTATTGTAGAAGTTCAGGTTCAGTTCCAGTCACGTACACAGAGAAGAATGCACCACGATAAAAGCATAAAATGAGAAGAAAAACAAAGAGGCAGTGATATGAAACTCGAAACCTAACTTCTTAGGGCTATCTCTCATACATATAAACCATCTGTATCCTTGTCAGGCACAATAAACTGAGGCTGAAGCATGATGATGACATTGTCGTCTATGAGGACCTCTTAGGGGAGGTCCGCTACTCTAAACATCTGCCCCAGCCTAACAACCTCAACAGGTGATTTTATCTCTGACAGACTCACACATACATTGCTAATCTACGACTCTTCTAATCTCAGTCTAACATGTTAACTGTTGACAGTCTTTTATTAGAGAAGCTGGAGAGGTGGCTGCAGCTGATGTTAAAGTGGTCCCCTCAGGAGAGAGGCAAAGACCATAACACTACACCCAGTGACTGCTTCTCCCAGCTTGAGATCATACTGCAGCTCAAGGTTAATTTATTCATTCGCTGATTCTTTCACTCTGTCCCGTTTCCCCGGTGCTGGTTTTGTTCTTTTGTTAAATGGTACTCAGAAATCACTGTTCTGATGGTAACAGAACTTATAGCAAGGTTACATCTTTGAATCTGTGGTCCAGCTTTAAACAAATTACCTCTTGGACTGATGGTAAGGCTGTAATTAAAGGCACCCATTCTATCATTTAAAGATTGTGCTTTTTTGTTTTTTTGTTTAGGTTAACACATTTACTTGTTCTGTTTCCATGTGCTTTGTCTTTTCCCTCAGCTGGTTCATGTCCTGAACATGAGGTCTGCAATGATCCTGACGTATGCCGTCTCAGACGGTGAGACTGTTGCCGACCTGCAGCTGAGAATAGAGAAAGACACCAACATCCCCGCAGCCAATCAGGAGCTGTTGCTGGAGGCGGGATTAGCCTTGGAGCCTAATGGCCTGGCCATGCAGTGTGCCATAGATTACACAGTAAAATCTGACATAAATGCTGTACACACAATGCCTTCAGAATATTCAAAAACACTGTGTGAAAGTGAGTCTTAGTATTATTATTACCTGCGTTTGTAGGAGATAGATGGGCGACGGACAGATTTGCCTCTGGTCTTCCTGTTTGATCGCTCCTCTTGCAGCTATGAGCCCCAGTTTTCTCCTCGCACTCTCCCTGAAAACATCCGTTTTGTCCGTAAGTACAAAGTTTATCTCAACTGAGAATTAAAATATGCAATATGTCTTTTCTATATTTTGTGATTTATACATCTATTTCAGGTGAATGTGCCTTAATGATTTGAACACTTTAGCCAAAAATGGAAATCAAAGTAAATATTTCATTGTGCTAAGCAACCAAGATGTGTCAGGGTTCCTGTGCTAGATTTCTAGTGAAAGTTTTGCATAGTGTTTTTGACAAGTTAAGCAACATGAACTCTTACGGTGAAACAAAATGTATGATTCAAGGTTAAGATTACTTAAGGTGTAATGTATGCTTTAGATCACCTTCTTTGCTTTAGTCTGACTGTGAGTTTCTGTCTCTTATCTGATTTTTTTTTCTCTCTTTCTCTCTCACAGAAACGGACCCTAAGCACGTTCTGGCCTACAGCCCTCTGAGGAGGACCTGCGGCCAGGCGTGGCACACCATCCGCTCCCTGAAAGAAGACTGGCAAAGACTGCAGCAGGGACAGAAAGCTGCCATGTAGGGCATACACACATTAGCTCCCACACACAACATATACTGTATATTTTCACACATTTGCATAGATCTAGGCTGAAAAACTATGGTGACTAGGCTTTTGCCATAACTGCCCCTAATTTGTGGAGTAGTCTTCCATTTGATCTTCGTTCTGTCCCTTATGTCACTGCCTTCTGCTTGCTCCTAAAAACCTATCTATTTATGCAGGTGTTCACTACCAGTACTGACTAGGGTTTTTCTGTTTTTGTTGTATGCGATATTTATCTTTATTCATTTATGTTGTTTGATTTTATTTAATGCTGTTTATTTGTTTCATTTAGTTCCTTCGCTTTTATTGTACATTTTCTTTTATAAAGCACTTTGTAACTGTGGTTTAGAAAAGTGTTATACAAATAAATGTTTGCTTTTTTACCTTAAAATTTCTTTACCTCTTTTCCTTCAGCATGAGCCTCCTAAGACACAACTCTTCACTGTCCAAACAGAAAAATGAGATGGTGTCCATGCACCAGAGGCTCATGGCCAAGCTGGATTTCTTCACCACCAGCCTTCACATAGACATGGACAAATACCAGGAGCAGACAGCCACTGGCATTGGTACTATGTCACAGAAACATGTTGTTAGATAGCCAAGAGACCACAACTGGCAAAACCTGCCCTTTAATCCTACTAACTCAACAACTGACTGAATTTTTTCCTTCACATTTTCTAGCGTCAGAGAAACTCCTGGGTGTGTGGAGGGAGATGGAGCAAACTGCTGTCAGCTGTGGTCAGGTAGAGTGGAGTGTGTTTCTATGTTTGTGTGTGTGGAAGGAGTATTCACGTGTTTCAGAAAGACTAAAGCTCATGTGTGGCTGTCCAGGCCAAGGTGAGTGAACTAGAGGAAGAGATGATGCAGCTGCAGCAAGACATAGTGGATGTGCAGAGGCAGCCATGGAGGAGTGGAGAGGCCCTGGACACACTGTAAGTCTGCACCAAACTTAACTGTAAAAACAACATAAACAACTGCTTTGTGATCTTGGATCCAGCACTGTTCCTCTCTTTGATCCTTAGTGAAGGAAAAGCCATGGAGCTGTTCCGCAAACTCAGAGAGAAACACAGAGGTTTGGATTTTTCATGCATCTGTTCACTTTTTACTTAACAGTCGTCATGGTGTCTCCCTGTGACAATAAACCTCCTTTTTATGTTCTTCTGACTTTCCTTTTCCTTTCCCTCTCAGACCAGAGGTGTCCAGGGGACAGTCAGGAAGTGGTGCGTCTGGTGCTTCAGGCTGTGCAGTTCTATGAGAGGAAGCTCAAAGACTTTTATACACACCTCAGGTATTTGCTCAGCTTTATGTAATCCCAAAACCCTCCCTGGCTGCTGAGCTGGGCCACAGACCATTATTTAGGGGCTCTGCAGACCTACACAGGTGTTTGAGGTGTAACTTAGGTCACAAAAAAGCTACTGTAAAGGTGAAACAGGCCATTTTTCTCAACAAACATTTTGACATCTTAAAGCAGATAAGGCAAAAGCATAAATACTAAACACTGGTGACTTATTAACATTTATAGCTGTAATCTGATGGCTAAGTGCAAGGTGGCAAATCGAATTAAGGGCATTTATAACTGGACATTTGATAACTTATTTTAAAGTGTAAAAATGATAACTAATGAATATACATATTTAATTTTACATTATGCATTCATATCTGTGGTTATAAATGCTTTAAAGTTATTAATGATTTATTAGTAGCTCTCTTATAAAAGTTAGGGGTGGTCAAATAATCCATTGCAGAAGACAGTACTGTTTACAATATGGTGGCCAAAGAAGCATTTAATTTATGTATCGAAACAGCTTATTAGTTATTCAAAACAATGGCTGATTCATCAAACATATCTGTACTGCATACTGTAATATATTAAAAGAAAATATACAGTGACAGCACAGAGGGGTGTTGTTAATTTTCCTCCTCCGTATTGGACTGTTATTTGTGTCTATTATGCAGTAAGACGGCCATGTGCCGTCAGCGGGTGATGGAGCTGCTGCCGAAGGTGGAGGGCGTGGTCCAGAGGATGGCTGAGAGCGAACAAGTCCTGATGAGTCTGCAGGAGAAACGACAGAGGGAACTGTGGAACCTGCTCAAAGTCGCCTGTGTGAGGACACATGAACTATTCACAGACACAAAACACCCTCCCATTTCTACTAGTGCCTGTTAATTGCATATAATTACAGTACATATTATGATCTGATAAGCTACAAATAATAATGGCAGAATTTCAGCAAGTGTGCAGATGTTGACAAGTTTAACTTTGGTGAAATTTACCTGATTCTCAAGCACCACTTACAGGACATTTGTCAGCTTCAACACTTCATTATAAATATCAGGTCAACTTTAAAATAGTCTAGATAACAAATGCCTAAAGCTCAGTTAATAAAATAAGAATTTGTTTAATATCTTCTCCAATAAGCAGGTGCTGCATATTGTATTAACTAACAGAAATTGCTTCATCTTGCCTTGAGTAGAGTAAAGTTCGCAGCCCAGTCAGTGGGAGTCCTGATGGATTACAAACCCCCTCATCAGTGCCACCTCTTCTGACCCCCAGACACAGCTTACAGCAGCTGTGAGTGCACTTACAGTATCACAAACACATACACACATTTGAGTTTAAAGAACCTTTTACCGGTACCTTCAGGGACTGACTCATCTTCTGTAAATCTTATTAAGGAATACAGAAAATAATCTAGACTTTACATTTCACTCACCTACACACATATTAGCAAACTTGTATTCAAATTCAATTTTATTTGATTACATAAATTAAGACAAAGTTGTTAGTTTTAATTGCATGGAAATAATCTCCCTACGATCTCACTGCTCTGTACTGTATTTGCTTTCACACTTCACACCATTGTCCTGTTTTCTTTAAAACAGCATCACTGAATCTTTCAAAGGGCACAAATACATTTTCTGATACTGACTGAAGCCATTAGTAACATGTATGAATCACATTGGGTGTGTCTGCAGTGACGAGTCCCTCGTGGAAGAGAGCAGGACATTTGAGAGTCGACTCCAGAGTTTGCTACACGACACCATCCAGGAGTCAGAGAGTAGTATGGGGGTACATACTGTGCATGCTCACACTTCCTCACCCCAGCTCTTACGCAAGCAGCTGATTTGCGTGGATTATGACCGTTTCCATGTTTTTCTTTGAATTACATATGGTGACTGTTAAAAAGAAAAACACCGCCCTTTGTTTTTGTTCTAGATGCTGAGGGAGTGGACGTGGCTGCGTGGAGGCCAGAACTTCTCCAGTGACCTCTCCTAAACTGGGTTTAATTCTTTGATTACATGTGGTACAGTACTGCCTCTGTGTGGCTGGGATGTCAAACTACAAGGGGGTATAGCTGTTCTGACAATGTGTGTAATAGCTGCTGCTACATTTTTTCATCCATCCATCCATTTTCTAAACCGCTTAGTCCCAATCGGGGTCACGGGGGGCTGGAGCCAATCCCAGCCAGCTGCGGACGAAAGGCGGGGTACACCCTGGACAGGTCGCCAGCCCATTGCAGGGCCAACGCACATATGAACAACCACTCGCACACACAGGCAATTTAGAGACACCAATCAACCTATGCTGCTGGTTTTTGGACTGTGGGAGGAAGCTGGAGCACCCGGAGAGAACCCATGCAAGCACGGGGAGAACATGCAAACTCCACACAGAAAGGCCCAGAACCTGCTTGCTGTGAGGCAACAGCGCTAACCACCCCGCCACCGTGCTGCCCTTCATGAGATTAGGAAATACATAAACCTACTCACTGCCAATATTTTGAGTACTGTGGCCAGGTCTAACTCAAATTATGATTTATATAAGAGCAATTTAGTAGAAAATGTTATTTATTTACATATCAGTAACAGCACAGACCAACCATTCAGCTACAAAGCGGTATATAAAAGCACTATTTATAAAATTCCATTTAGATCATTCCTACAGTCTTACAGTATGAAGGGAGGCCTGCAGAGTGCTTTAAACTGGATCTCTCCTGAAATAACTAAAGAATTAATGAATGCTGATGTGTTTCAAAGCAGAAATATTTAGGCCTTTGGTTTGAAGCTATATTTCACTGACATTTGTCTCACCATGTTTGCTGGACTTCTATCAAAAAAAATTACTAATTGTATTTTAATACTGTACATAAATAACGAGTTTTAAAAAATGGTTGTAAGTGTTCTAAAGAATGTCTGCATTATGCACATTTTCATGTTTTATGTTTCACAGTGGGCAGTTTTTTAATGCAAATTTTATTGTAGCAAGACAATCATTGGATGACAGTAAGCTATAATATCTGGATCCTGAATGACTCTATGAATGTGATTTACTTTTTCTTTTCTTTTTTTTTTTTTAACATCCACTGATAATTATATGAATGGTAGACACACCTGTACATTATAGTGCAGTCCAGAATCTGTGTACATATGCTCTGCTGTTAAGAGAATAATGTCAGAATAACAACGTTAGACATTCCCATGATGTTATTCAAACAAAACTGAGTCTTTAACATGAGTACATCCTTTCCATGTGACGTTTTCTTTGATTCATTTCCATTGTTCTGGGAATGAGGGCACGTTCTCTTTCTTCACTGTCATGTCAACCAAAATAAAAAATATATATCTATAGTGTTTTATATTCTTTATTCCATTAAATCAGTAAAATCAGTTTAACTGTTGACTAACATTCTTATACAAAGCACAGCACAGATAAAGTGAAATGGTAAAGACTGAATGGGTACAGGACAGCAAATGAGACAAAGAGGTGATACAGAGTTCAAAACTGCCATTGGCCCTACCAAACATGAGACAAGTAGACATTTAGGCAACTGAAGATTCACAGTGTGTTACTGTGTTACTGAGGTCGACTGGTGGAATCACAGTGAGTCCACTCAGTCTGAGAAGGATCAGCCGCTCTGTCTTCTCTCCAGCCTTTATTGCATCTGTTTACAGTCAATGTACTTGTCAGTGTGATAATGAGCACCTCCCTCTAGTCTTAAAACCATGCAACAAAACCACAATATACCAAAACAAGTGTCTTCTAATTATCTTGTTAATGTCTAAAAACCAGAGTATATTTGAACAAAATTAGTTGCCACACAGTCAAAATAAGAAGTGCTTTAAATCTGATTTCTGAAAGAAACAGATGCCTGAGAGACAAACGCTCTACTGAAAGTGCACTTTGTCTGGTCACACTAGTGATGAGCAGCACTCCTGATGGAGAACGGGTTTTGCATGAATTGTCCACTGACAAGCCTGTTCTTATGTTGTATTCTGATAATACTGTATATGCTCAAAGGCTGGCTGTAAGAACTGTAAATAATGTAATTTTAAAAATAACCAACAATAAATGAGGCTTGAGTTCTTCAAAACGTACAGTGCTGGAGGTCTTGGAGGCTGCTTGGGGTTTCAGGGTTAAGGCCAAAGAATGTGTGTATCTGCACATATGTGTGTAGAGGGAAGGTGTGTTTACATGGTGCTGAATGGACCTTTGTAGTGTCACAGCTGGGCTCTGCATTCATGTCCTGCATTGCTTTCTTCTCGCATTTCTTGTCGGTCCTCCTCTCAAAACCCATACCAACTTTGTGTCCACCACCATTCACATTCTTCCCGTCAATCAAAGCTGAGAGGGTGAGCTTCGCTCCTGCAGGGAAGCATATCAGATTATGCACAATGTAACCATGCTATGCTTTACAAAAATAATTTAAAAAGACAGTTAACTAACCTGGCCTGAGGGTTTGTGTGTATCCAACTCCAACAAGACAGGCGTTGTTTACTTTGGCCTGTGAGGAGAAACAAACCAACATGGATGACATAATGAGAGATAAGATGATCATGAAAACAGCATTAGGAGAGTAGACAGATGGAAACTGGGATACACTTAAATAATCTATATCATATACTGTATATGGATGCATCAGCCTCAGGTCAATAACAGCAGAGAAGTTAGATGATGGCTTCAAAAGCATTTCTGGTTGTTATGCAGAGTGAGTGGGGGTTTAGAGAGCTTTTTATTAACCACTTTAGCCCTAAGGCTCTAGGGATGCCAGTGTTCCCCTGTTGGGATGTTGGTTTACCACTCTGGTCTATAGTGAAGTATCTCAACAACCATGTGATGGATGGCCATAAATGTTTGTACAGACAGTAAGGGAACAAATCTTACAGACTTAGTGATCCTCTGACTTTTCATTTAGCAACAGCAGCAGGTTGGCAGTCATTGTCACTGTTAACCCTTGTGATGAGGATTTTGAATCATTTTAAATCTGGATGTTTTGAAGTCAGTTCTTACAGACAGGGAGGCATCCTTATCCAGCTGGTATTTGGCTCCAATTCCAAAGCGCGTGTTGTTGCTGCCAGCTGTCCAGGCCAGGTGGACTGCTGTCTCTAAGTTGCTGTTCACCTTTTGGTAAATGGAGCCACCAAACTCTGTTCCATCGTTACTGAAATACAACAGCAAATCAGCAGCAGAGTCCATTAGTCTGAACATTGTTTCATACTTTTTTCTCTCATTGCATTGAATGTGTCACTTCCGTTTTCTGCCTAGCTTCACTCACACATTGGTATGAAGCTGGAAGTCACCGGCCTTGTATCCAAGGGCAAAGTTGTTCTGGGTTAGTTTAGATTTGGCAGTGTCAAAAGCCAACTGGTAGCCAGCCAGCCAGCCCTCATAACCCAGCACAGCGGCTGCGTGGACGGTGGGACCATCCATGTCGAAGGCCAGGTCACAGCCCACGTTAATGTAGTCACGCTTGTAACCCGTCTTCAGTTTGGCACTCTTCTTGCTACAGAAAGAAGGACAAGGAGGTGATGCAGTTTATTGTCAATTTATTGAAGACAATGAAAACTACTTAGCATGAGCAGGGTTGCTCTTACCCGGTGTTGGGCACAAATGACGCATCCAGACCAAGCTTCAGGCCCTTAGCCAGCTACAGACAACCAACCATACAGCAGATAAATACTATGAGCTAATATTTTATCTGAAGGTGAAGGTCTGAACATTTTTAAATAAGCAAGGAAAATCCTGTCATATTTTCTTAAAGTGCTTAAAATGACTAAAATCCTGTTTGTCTGACTCTACCTGGTCCTCCATGGTGAGTTCTGTGGTGAGAGTGTTATCTGAGTTCCATTTCTGGTTGAAGCTGATGCCCAGGTCAGTCAGTTTGTACTTGGTCTCCAAGTGGCCTCCTGATTTCCCTGTGTCTGTGTTGCTGGAGCCGGAGGTGGCAAACTCCTGCAGGGCACAAAGGGATCGAGTAATGAGGGGGGAGATGGAAATGGAAAATGAGGTGGGACGGGGAGCAGACAGGCAAATGCCACCTTAGAACCCAGGTACTAAACTAAAGGCATACAGCTTGTGAAAGCATTCAGACAGAGAGAAAGAGAAACAAAAAAGATATGGGAAATGAGCATCACTTCTCTGCTTTTCCTCTGCTGCAAAAGCTACATTTTTAAGATGGAAAAATGAGTTGAGAAGGAAAACTGAAAACATGGCAGGACTGTGAGGGAGAGCCTGGTTGTGTGTGTATTTGAGGATCGGTTACTTTACGGCTGCAGCTGTTGGGATAGTGGTGTCACTCGGACGAGCTACTGCTGCAAAGAAACACTTGGCAAAAAGCCCGTACACAAACACATAACTGGCATGACTTGCTTACCCTTCAGTGCACCTGTGTTTAATCATTACATATGCACACACACTCTCTTACCATCTGACAGGAATGTCCAAAGAAGAGGCAGAAAAAAAAGAAAAGAGAGAAAGTTAGGAAGAACCATACAGAGTTTACATGTGGCAATTTATCCACTCACTGGGAAAACAAAAGGCGGTGCAACAGAAAGCGGAAATCTGTGCGTGGCAACACAGAGTAAATACATTTACAATGTTTTTCTAATAAGCATTGTGGCATGTGGGAAACTGTATGCAACTGCTCATTATGGTTTTACCATGGCAAAAGGTTTATAACAACACAGACATAGCATGTCTGGAGCTAACCAGAATGGAGGAGGGTGACGACATCTCCACTGACTATAAGGATCATGGGAACCATGAATAGTTCCAAACATTAGGAGCATGGAGTTTCACTGACTTGGCTGCTATCTTCTAAAGTAAGAGGTTGAAATCAATACCAATAATTATACTTGTGACATTTTAAGTTGGCGACGTGTCAAAACATGTTTTACAACCTTTTCGCTATCTCTCTCAAATACTGTGTGACTTCAGTAGATTAGCTAACTATCTAAATTAGCAGAGCCATACAACAGCAGAACACAGAAGTGGTTTGCAAGGCTGTTCAAGTCATTAAAAGTAGTAATGTGCTGATAAATCCACTGTTCCCTACAGAAAACAATGGCTCTCAACTGGCCGTTTGGAACTATTTGAAGCTACATGAGACACATGACCCACTGATGTTTTGACCCCTCAGTGCCGCAGCTCTTCTATCTTAAGGGATTTGGCGTTAACCAAACATTCAGTACAATGGAGCACTCTGATCCCATCATGACATACCATGTCTGAGAGACAAGAGCAAGAAGTACCTCTGCTGGGCAAACACTGCTGACTCCATATGTTAGACTGAGTACATGGCAGGCAGCAAACACACTGTAACATGAAGTCTGTGGGTCATCCATTTGATCTACATCTCATAGAGAGAGGCCTGACCATGACATTTAAACACATCAGGCTCACAGAGACAACAGTGATACTTACAACACCACTCTGCGACTTGGTCTTAATGTCCAGCTTCAAAGCTCCAAAGCCTGGGAACAAAGGAAGGATGGAAAATAACTTACATCCTTGTATTGCACAGCATGGCTGTAAAACAGCTGCAGCAAAAATAAACAGCCTGCATTTAAAGTCACACAGCAAACAGAATAATCTCTGCTATCAGTCCTGCTTCAGCATCACTTCATCCAAAACAGTTCAAATAAAACTGCACTATTGTAGCAATAATATACATGTATGTTAGGAGAATTCGTGTAGTTACCGTAGCCCTTGCAGAAGATGTCTTTGGCAGATTTCCCCAAGTCAGAGTATGCGGGAGGGACAGCCATTGTGCCTAAGAAAACATATGCACATACTGTAATCTTTTTACTTTTTTTTTGTACACAATATAACATACATTTCACTGCATTAACCTGACTACATAGTTAAGGGGATATTTAGTAATGCACCTCCAGAAAGTTGAAGGGCTTAGAGTTGTCAACAGTGGTATGTACATATCGTGAGTTTTAGGTTAAGCTCCAAAAGTACTATACCCTGTATTTTCCATGGTGCAACTCAACAGCATCTTTCATTAGACCCTACCTGCCACATCTGTACGTTTTCTGATTTGTTACTTACATTTTCTGTTAAAAAAAAAACAACATTCTGAGACATCATACTAACATAGCTAGTCAGAACAAATGCTTCAAATAAATACAAGCGGAATACGTCTTGTGAATACATTGAACTCTGCACCTTAGTGGAAGCTGGGAAACAACTCAGACAACACTTTCAAAAGCAAAAGCACATGTAAAGAGCTGTATTCCCTTACACACACACACACACACAGTCAAAAACAGTGCTTTTTACCAAATATGTGTGCACAATCAGTTTACCTATTTGCCTTAGTTAGGAAACCTTTGCCATCTGGAGGGGGGCCTGTCAGGGTGCTGGTGATATCCAGCTTCCCTCCTCCCCCTCCATCTTCTATGTGAACCCTATTGATTGCCTGGCAGCAGTCCATTAGCAAGCATCTGAGGTTGTTAAGCTAATGATTCTCTAGGAGAGAGGTCTTTTAAAATATTTGCAGGAACAAATATTTTAAAAGACCACACATCCAACCAAGAACTTTTTGCTGCAAGAGTCAGTGCTGTATTTTGACATCCCTGTTTTGCTAAGCTTGTGAAGAGAAAGAGATATAACATGTATGTGTAAAGAAATCCAATGCAGTAGAGCTAACATAAGCAGTAGCAGGTTTGGTTAGTCAGCAACTACAAGTCCTGCACCCCAGTGTTTCAGACAATCATCAGGGTTCCCTTGGTCAGTGTGTGTGTGCACACTCTTTGTGTGTGTGAAGACAGTTTTGACAAGGTGTCTTTGCAGGAGCATTAGAGAATATCCTGCATTCCCTTATGAGCTAGGTTTTAATGTGTTAATTTTTGATGTGTTATTTTTTAATGTTGCATGTGGAAATGTTCTAATTTGTTAACAGAAGGGTGTGTGTTGTGTTTTACTGCTGTCTACTTCCTGCTACCCGTGCTTTGGGAAATGCAGGTTCTATCGACTAAAGCATCCATGACAAAGCCAGCACAGACTGTCAGTGAAATCCAGCACATTGAAACTGACAAAGGGTAAAGATGACAGCTGCTCAGATTTATCATCTTCGTCTCTAAGATGAGTGTAGCCAAAGTAAAATCCAGGGACCCCGATGATTCGTCATATGTCTCTCTACAACACACACCCACTCACCATGTCCTTTGGGTTCGGGGTGGTGACATGTCGCACAGTGGCCTTTGTTCTCTGCCTGCTTGCCTTTTCCTGTCTTGTCCTGCTCCACCACACTGCCCACTCTTTTCTCTGCCATACTCTCTTCAGACAAGAAAAGTACAAGGAGGGACAAAAGAACAGTAGTCCTGCACTGTTTTGACAGTTATGAGGGTTTATCTGAGAGTGGCTGTGAACATTAGAATGTACATGCTGTCAGAGAACTGTTCACCTATGGGATTACATTGTACAGTATATGCATAGGCCAGGGGATGATGAATGCATGTACTTTGTGTGCAGCACTTGAGCATGATAAGGCCTGTGTACTCCCCTTGTATGGCACTGATAGTTGGCATTGTTTTCAGACAAAGAAGAGCAGTTAGGTGAAGGGCATGAAATGATGATCTGGTGAAATATAGAATCCTCTGTGCCCCTTATACAAGAGCACAGAACACAGCGGATCATACGGACAGAAACCTGTCCACAAGTGTTACAGCGTGTTAAAGTGACTATGATGCAAGCTGATGTCACAACGTCATTCACCTCTTGCACATCACCTACATAAGGAGAGTCCTATATGTACATCAGTCTCTGTCCAAATTTGTCTTATTCCCATTCTGAGGTAGTACTGTCCTTTTAAGTCCCCAAATACTTGGTTTTAAATTACAAGGATGTCTTTATAACATTGTTACTTATTTAATAATAATTATTTAAGTCAGAGGTGAAGTCCAATACATTTTTTTTACCACTTGGGCTCAGCGGAAACAAAAACACCGATATATCCCCGCATTTTAAGATGATATGGTGGACTTATTAGCCAGCACTTGTCAGCAACACTGAGTCATGCTTCTGAAAAATCTAAGTCCAATATTAACTCTCTATTAGCTCTGTTTTGTTCTCTACCAACCCTTAAGGAAAACAGCTGGCTCTTCAGCTGATAAATGCTTCTGTGTTCCCCAGCAAGTCAATAAATATCTGTCGTGTGGTGCTGAGCAGATAGTTGCCAACCCGACAGCTAAACAATGATGCATTGTTGTTATAAAATTATCAGTTATAGCTGCTTTAGGCATTAACCTCAAAACCCCAGGGAATCTGCTTCATTAGGACTGTGTGGGTGTGGCTTGATTATAAATGACTGACAATACTAAAAACATAACCTCACAACTGTCAGTAGTATCCAATTCAAATGTTGTACCCCCCTCACCTCCTTCACCACAAGGTCCATTTTGACACTTTCCCTCCTAGTCATCATCCCTCAGTCTCAACATTAGGCTCTAAATTTAGCCCAAGTGAACCTGACACTACAACATGTGGTTGGGTTTCAACGTGGGTACTCCTCCAGATTGAGGCTATTTAAACCCCTATAAAAATTGATGTAATTGTCTGTGTTGTACTTCCACACTGTGTTCATATACACTCACACTCCTGCCACTTAACACTTTCATTATCTGCAACCAGATGAGACTCTTGACTGGGCTCAAAGGTCGAAGTAACACCCATAAACAACAGAAGTAAAACAGCAACCACTCAAACAACAAGATGGTGGTTGTGGGTGTCAATAATCAAACAGACAAATAGTATTTTTAGAATACTCTATTTGAGGAAGAAGACTGGCTTTCAACTGGGCTAATGAAGAACACAGTTTTATATCTATGAAATGTCAGAAATAACAGTAAACTGATGTAGCAATTAATGTATCACACTTAAAAATTGTTTTAGAAGAAAATCAACTTCTTGAAGTTATAAAGCCAACGCTTTAGATATTTTAACCATGGCTAATTTCAGCAGCAGGGTTGCCCTTTATCCAATAGTTAAAAAACAAATAATTTAACAGTTTAATATGAGCATGGTAGATACAGGCAATAGACCCCTTGCTAATGAACAAATACCAAACAGAAAAACTATGAAATTTTGTAAACAGGCAGTTACCCAACACAGATATCATGAAGCCAAGACAAGTGCGTTTGGCCCATGTCGGGAGGAGTATGTGGCTGCGAGATAAGGTCAAGCACAGTTAAGTTACACAAAGTCAATTTATAGCATGAATGTAAAGTGCAGGGTGTAGAGATGTATGTATGTGCTTCACAGTATAATCCAGTCACTTCCAGTGGACTTCAGGGTGTATAAAGGTAACAGACTACAGATACAGTGTGTACCAGCTCCTATTTACCAGTGAGCTTGAGCCATGTGCTTATTGCATCACCTTGTGTTATTACTAATGTGTTTTTCTGGCACTTGATTAACAGGCCTGATTTCAGAACTTTGGAGAGCGACATTCTTAAAAATATAAATATATGACAAGCATACAATTTCCAACTAATCTCAGTTTTAACAGTAAAATAACAGGTTTCATTTTCACCTATGCCTCCGAGCTGGTTTTAATGATGAATTTGCCTAATATATACTGGGTCACTACCACGGTGGTATTACTGTAAACATATGCGCCATTAAATCAGGTCCTCCTGTAGTACAAGTGTACAGTATAAGTATTTTTATTTGCCAGATGCGTCCACCTCTGCTTTCCATTGTCCGCGCGTCTGGAGGCATATGTAGACCTATCAAGACTATTGAGTGCTTGGCCACTAACATTGCAACAATTACATTTTTAAAACACAATCTTTATGTTTAAGGAGGCATAATGCAGAGTAGATGTTGCATCACAGTGGAAACATACCATTTCAAGTATTGGACCCTTTTGTAGCCATGACTGGTTAAAAACAGCCTACACTGTGGCCACTAAACGTGTATTTGGGGAGACTGTGTTTGAGACAGGTTGCAGTTATGAATCTCAGTGAACCAATGGGACTTGCAGGCCCAAACTGGTACTGAAACCCTGGCATACTCGCCTTTTTCTACACTCCTTGTGCACGCCTGTGCGACTCATATCTCACTGAGACTCAAATGACTGTTCACAACAGCGAAATCGTGGTGCAGTTCAACCAATGTAAGACAATAACTTTTTAAAGTAACACACAGCTCACAGTCAGCCATTTCTTACCTTTATTTATGTCGCGGAGCGTCCAATTTTCTCAGCTATGTTCGATACAACGGGACTCTGTGAAGGAGAAAGGAGAGACGAACTGGGCAAGCGCAAGTCAGACCTCCGGCCGAGGGCGGGGCCGTTGTGCGTTTGACACAGGAAAAAAAACAGTAATCTATTCTGCACCTATTGTTTTACATATGTGCATTGTATAGCCTACAGTTTTTTTTTGGTGCTCAGTATGTGTATGGCAAAAGGTATAGGCACGCCTGTGTACGACAAAGATACCTGTGATATTCATGGAAAAATATTTTATATATGTATTATAGTAGCTATTAATCTATCCAGAAATCATAGGATTATGCCTGCTACCCCGATGTCATCTACATATTTCATAAAATGTCACTGAGCTGTGGTTTAAAAAAACCCTTTCAAATCTACAATTGTGTCTATAAACTGAAGAAGCACAGAAAGGTGTGAAATATGCTTACAAATGGTCACGTTTTAATTTAGGTTAGGTTTTGTAAAGATTTGGGCCATATTTGGAGCTTGGGTGTGGCGACTGACTTGGGTTAGACAACCTGAAAGGCAATATTCAGGAAGGAAAACACACAGAAATAATGTGAGTTGTGTGTTAAGCCTGATTTTTATTCATATCATTATTGTAAGCAACCATTTTATGGCAGGTCTCCAAACTGATTCGCCATAACTTGAACCAAACGTGATTAACAGCACACTGTTGTGTTGTTAGTAGTCTACCGCTCCGTGCATGACTTATTTCTGATAAACTACCAACTGCTTAAAAGATTTGGATGAATTTTGGGAGGAGTCCTTCTATTACGTGCGTTTCCGTTTGCGGCTGCGCCGTTACCATGGTAACGATTATTGTACCGGGCCTCGGCGTCATAGGGGTGCATGAACTAAATCCTCAACAGATAAACAAGTCGAAATTACAGGTAAACGAATTAACTTGATTATTTTATGCAACTCAACCAATTGCAGTTGCTTAGTCGACGCAAGCTATTGCAAATATCTTTCGTCAAACGCTATTTGTGTTTAGTTTCGTCGACAGAGCCTTGGTTGGTTACTTAACGCTAGCTAACTTTATAAGCTACCCTAATAATTTACTTAAATTATTAGGGTAGCTACACTGGTAGGTATCTAGCTAACGGTAGCAAGCAGTGTATTAGTTACTGGACGGAAAGGAATTTCATTGTTGTGTTCACAAGAATGAATAATTCATTCATTCATTCATTTTCACGTACTTGGTTTATAAACCTAAATATCATTATTACTATATTTTGTCAGAAAAGTGGTATACATGCGTGCAGTTATTACACCACCTACAGGCCTAAGAAAATCAGTGGTTAATGGTGGTAATTGCCATGAAGTAATACCAACCAATAGTCAAATTATCAATGTGAAAAATCCATGTTTCTGTTTGACAGCATTTCTCAGCTGATACTGTACTGCTTTGTTTGTTTGTTTTTACATTTTGCAGCTTCAGATGTGTGAGGGGCCTTCGTCAATATCCGGGCCAATCCCCCCAGACCCTTCTCTGTTTCCTCAATACTACAAACGACCAGCTTCAGGTTAGATAACCACAGGACTCTAATATATTAAAATCTCCCCTGAAGCCAGATGTTTTGTGTGAGTGTGTGGGTAAATTAAATATCTACAGTACAAACATAAGATAACTGTCTAATTTATTCTTTAGTTAGATATCACAGCAACAAGATTTGATTTTTTTGCAAAAAAGCTTTAGAGTCCACTGATTTCCATGAGTGGTTCAATAAATTAGGCTGTTGATTTGATTTGATTTGATTTGATTTATTCTTTCAAGCATGTAAAGACAGTTGATATGTCAACACACATCATTTTACACATATCCAACAAATGCTAATCCAATATCAATTTGCTTATACCTAGTACATGCTTGAATGGAGTAGGAAGAAGTCAGACTTATCCAGTCCTACCCCATGACATCATCTTACCATCATTGGTTTGCAAGCAATAAATGATTCACTTCTATTCTCTTCTACACCACACAAGTAATATATTAAAGAATTATTACA